TTTTCCCAGGAGAAAACTCATGGCAAGGGCGGTTACTGTGGGGCTGGGGCTCCTGTGAGTCACAGGGTAACTCCCCAGCAGTGACAAGTGGCGGATGGGTGGAGTCCCTGCCTGGTGGCAGTACCAGGCTCTCGGTGGTGATGTACTCCAAGGGGCACTGCTGAGGAGATGTGATACAGCGAAGAGCTTTTGGAGTTTTCTGCTCTTCTGTTTGCATATTTGTGCCTTTCCCACAGGCTGGTGGGGCCGGTGAGACGTCGAGGTGCTGCATCATTTCCTTCTGATCTGGGATCAGGAAGGGCTCTGGAGGACAGGCCTCTGGCTGTTCTTGCCTCTGTGGAGCCTGGGGACAGTTTTCCTTTGGGAGGGTCACATACTGAAGGGAAACTGATTTCTCACAAACTCCCACAGGGTCCGCTTCCAGGGTCTGACGCGTATCAGGCTGGGAGGACATCACTGGGCTGTACAAGTATGGACCATTGAAAGCAAAGCAAGGAATTGCTGTCTGGGAAGCTATACTTGCATCAACACTGTTTCTCCTTGAAACAGGAAGCGAGTGACCAGCAATATGACTTGAGCAGACAAGTGGGGTATGCTCTGGCTCATTCAAAGTATGGTATGAGTTCTGTAGGTCCAGTACAACAGGGGAAGCATCTGTCTTTTTAGCTTGCCCTTCAGGGGACTCTGCCAAAGTCTTCATCCGCCTGAATGTGGGAAAGTTAAAAGTTGCTCATGAGAGATATTATTGTGGTAAATATTAAATATAAAACAAGCTCAGTCGAAAACACACATAGCTACACACAGGGTCAGAAAAAAATCTTTCTTGGAGAAACAGGCTAATCCAGATAGCAAAAAAATTGTATCCCTTCCTCAAAACCAAATTTATAGGCTTTTTAGTGACAGAACATTTGATTATATCCTGCCATGACTTAGGGATCTCTTTGAGACTGTCATCCGCAGTGTCCCTATAATGTGCTGTTCACTCACCTGTCGACAACTTGAAGGATGCTAGCCTGCTCCATCTTCTCTGAAAAGTTGTATTTGTTGAAGTCCAGATGGCTGCTTGTTGGCCAGTTTCCTAAATGTACTTTCTGAAAATGAAAAAGGAGACATGACAAAAGAGCAGTGTCTCAGTGGCTGAGACACTCAGTAGAATCTAGAACCTTACATTCCTCAAGGACAAAGAAAACAAATAGAAGAGTCTATAGCATCTGGCAATAGGGATACAGGTTCACCGATATGACTAGAAGGTGTGTTCTGTTCTCCAGAAGATGGTTACTTCAAACACGTATTGCCTTACCACTGACCTGACTACAATTACTCAGTGACCCAACTAGGAAAGATGCCCTCTTAGACTTATTTGTGAACATTGAAGGACTCATGGGAGATGTGATGGTAGGTGGCTGTCTTGGCCACAGTGATCATGAAATGATTGAGTTTAAAATTTTCAGAATAATGAGAAAAAAGGACAGTAGAGTTGCTACCCTGGATTTCAAGAGAGCAAAGTTTAAGCTTTTCAGGGAGCTACTTAGCAGTGTCTCCAGGTAATCTGTTTTTGAGGGCTTGGGAGTCCACAAGTGCTGGTCAGTTTTGAAGAATCACCTTTTAAAAGCACAGGAGCAGGCAATTTCTGTGTGTCATAAGTCAAGCAGCAGGGCAGATGACCAGCTTGGCTGAACAGTGAACTCATTCTGGAGCTCAAGATGAAAAAGAAATTCTGTGATTTCTATGAAGCAAAGTTAGGCTTCACAGGAAGAATACAGTGCTGTGGTTCATATGTGCAGGGAGAAGACACAAAAGGCCAAAGCTCAATTAGAGTTGAAGCTGGCCGGTGTTGTACCAGACAGCAAGAAGGGCTTTTTTAAGTACGTTAATAGCAAGAGGAGGTCTAAAGGAAACATTAGACCAATACATGATGATGATCACCTGACTAATAGGGGTGAAGAAAAAGCAGAGGCATTCAGTGCATTTTTTGCCTCAGTCTTTAATAGTACTGATAGACCTTGGGCTGCCCAGTCTTCTGAGTTGGAAGACTATGAGTGCAGGAACAGTGATTTTCCATTTGTGGACATTGAAATTGCAAAGGAATAGCTGTATCAGCTGAATGTTCCTAAATTCGTGCAGCCTGATGGGATTCACCCCGGAGTACTGAAGGAGCTAGTGGATGTTACAGCAAGACCCTTCTTGATGATTCACCAAAGGTCTTGGAAGTCTGAGGAGGTCCCTGCTGCCTGGAAGCTAGCCAGTGTTATTCCAATTTACAAGCACATGAGGGAAGACTCAGAAAACTACAGACCTGTTATTCAAACCACAGTTTCTGGAAAAAGTACGGAGAGGATCATACTGGGTGCTACTGAAAAGCATTTAAAGAACAATGCAATCATCAGGCACAGTCAACACGAGTTCACAAAGAGGAAGTCCTGTTTAACTAATTTGATATACTTCTGTGAGAAGGTCATCCACCTAGTGGATGAAGGGAAGGCAGTGGATGTGTTTTTTTAATTTATTTTAGTAAGGCTTTTGATACTGTCTTTCACAGCATCCTTCTGGACAAATTGTCGAACTGTGAGATGAGCAGGTACACAGTATGCTGTGTGAAGAATTGGCTGAAGGGCGGAGCTCAAAGGGTTGTAGCAAATGGGGCTACATCTGGCTGGTGAGCAGTCACCAGTGATGTAACTCAGGGCTCGTTTCTAGGGCCAGTTCAATATTTGTTTAAATGATCTGGATGCAGGAGTTGACACCTTAGCAAGTTTGCAGATGATACTGAACTGGGAGGTGCAGTTGACTCAAGGGACAAAAGGCCTTGCAGAGGGATCTAGATAGATTGGAGCGTTGGGCAATCATCAATGGAATGAAATTTAATAGCTCCAAATGCCAGATTCTGCACCTGGGACAGAGTAACACCAGGCACAAGTATAATTTGGGAGAGGAGTGGCTGGAGAGCAGCCCTGCAGAAAGAGATCTAGGGGTGCTGGTGAACCGCAGGCTCAGTAGGAGTCAGCAGTGTGCCCTGGCAGCCAGGAAGGCAACCCGCATCCTGGGGTGCATCGAGCACAGCGTAAACAGCCAGTCAAAAGAGGCAATTATCCTGCTGTTTTTATGGTGTGGCCTCACCTTAAGCACTGTGTGCAGTTCTGGTCCCCGCAGTTTAGGAAGGATTTTAAGGTACTTGAATGCGTCCAAAGGAGGGCAGCAAAGCTGTGAAAGGGCTGGGAGGAATGTCCTATGAGGAGTGGCTAAGGACTTTGGATTTATCTAGTCTGGAGAAAAAGGGGATGAGGGGAAACCTCCTTGCTTTCTACAGTTACCTGAGGAGTGGAAGTGGAGAGGGAGGTGCTGATCTCTTCTCCCTGGCATCCAGGGACAGAACGCATGGGAATGGTGTAGAGCTGCACCAGAGAAGGTTTAGACTGGACATTAGGAAGCATTTCTTTACTGAGAGGGGGGTCAAACACTGGAACAGGCTTCCTAGAGGTGTGGTCAATGCCCTATGCCTGTCAGTGTTTAAGAGGCATTTGGACAATGTCCTTAGTAACATGCTTTAACTTTTGGTCAGCCCTGAATTGGTCAGGCAATTGGACTAGATGATCATCGTAGGTCCCTTCCAACCAAACTATTCTGTTCTATTCTACTCTATTCTAACTTTACATAGCATAGGGGTCAGGAGCTGCTCCCTTAAAGAGCTCATGGAGATGCTGTAGGTTCCTACCACAATAAACATCA